CTGAACCCTTCTTCAGATGCAGCATTTAAAATTTTACAGCATTTACAAGACCAGATTGGAGTCTGTATATTTTAACACCTATTCCCTTTCTTTCTGGTTTTATAATTGAGCTTGCATGTGAGTCATTCTGCCAGGCAGCAATATGGTGTCAAGTTTATGCAGTTCAAAGTGGCTGTAATGTTACTGAAATTGAAAATTTGTGACCTATACCTGACACTGTAATTCATGCAATGTTTTTTGGAGGGTGGTAGGAAATTGGTGATTTGATTAACTATTTGATTTTTCATGTTCCTCTGAAATGAATGAAAGGTTCTGTAACCAAAGACCAAATCCATTCTCTTGATGAAACAGGTCTTGATAGCCAGGAAGGCTGCAGCAAAACAGAATGGCTGGGTAGAGTAGTATTTGCAGTTATCTTCTGCCTGGTGGTCAAAAAGAAACATTTTGCAACCAAAAGGAGTGAAATCCTATAGGAAAAGAGTAGTTAGGTGAATATCTTGACAGTGGCAGCTGCGTCAGAAATTCAAGTAGTGACTCTTGGTAGTGTGTGTCTATGTAGTGTTGTGCTAGGTGGGATGGCCTGTGAATTCTGTTAAGGACTGGGAAAGCTCCTTTTCTTCTAGAAGCACTTTAAGACAATGTGTTTGTTTCCTGCTCAGCACTGAAGTACTTTTACTGCTTCTGTGATGCAAAACCAGTGATGTAAGGTGGGAAGTAAGAAGGGTTTGCTTGAGGGTGCTTTGTTTTTGTTGACATCACTGTGTAGTTCACAGATGTTGTGGGCACTGTGCACAGTCAACTTAAAAACGCTTTTGTTTTTCACTTCTAATGAGTAGATCGTTACGTTTATTTGCTGGAGGAAGGTGAAGCAGACAACCAGCAGGGTTTACGAAAGGAGGCTGGACATACTGCAGCCTGAACAACTAAAAGTTACTCACCCTTCTGTTTATATGTACTTTGTACAGAGGGGAGCCCGTGACTCCTCTCCTGAGTGCAGTCACATCAACCCCAAGCATTAAACTGGACCAGACTATCTAGAAGGCATCTGCTTACTCTCCAGGCTCCAAGGTTAGCCTAGAGTGACTGGGTGGCCCCACCTGGGGACCAGCTTTTGAGTAAGATGCAGGGGAGCTGTAACTGAAGCAGACAAGCTGGCTGCATGCCAGGTGCTGGTAGTGGGCTAATCTTTTCTAACAGGCATAAAAGCTGAAAGAGTCAATCTGCTGGTGCTGAAAACTAAAGATAGCTCCTTCTGTGGGCACTGTTGTGTTTGCATCTGTTAGCTGGGCTGTGTTACTAGGTGTGCCAAGCTCAGCCCACAACTAGATTGCCTGTCCCTGGGCCTTAGGATGGTTTTGCAGTGGGGTGTAAATTGTCTAGATTGGCCTAGAGCAGATGACTAGGCTGGGATTTTCAGCTGACAGGACTTGTGGTCTTTAAATGGTGTGTATGTGAGAGGAGCCCACTACTTTTCCTGTAATGGATGTACTTCTGAGGTAGGTTGTTGATTCCTGTCAACAAAAGCAGCAGCTCTGTCAAAATGAGGGCTGTGTACCCAAATCCTGTAAGCAGCAGACTGTGTTAGAATGTAGTCGGTGTGGCAATGCAAAATGGCTTATTTTATATGTATTACATCTATTAATGTATGCTACCCTTATATGACTTTCTGAATATTTTCTTCAAAACTGGGGAATAAGATGCAGAAATTAGTCTTTTTCTTGCAGTCTGGTGTTCCACTGCAAGCCACCTGTTCACTGCTGGACTACATCCAGCTACTACAGTACCTATCTGTTAGGTATGGCTGCTGTTATGGCTATTCTTCAGACTCCAGGCAGTTTTCTTACATAAACGAGGTAACATTGCTTTCTGCTGCTCCTTATCCTTCCATTGGAAACAGATGTAGCAACCTTTCCTTCATGCTTTGGAGTAGCTGTGGGTTTACTCCATAGTCTGGTCCCTGCATCCTTAGGGGTGACATGCCTCTTGGGAATGTGGCATGGTCGGATGCCTGCAGGCATAGGGAACTGCATGTAGGGATGCAGCTCAACTATCTGCAGGCCGTTCATTAAAATTCTTAGGGTGTTCTCTGCAACTATTAATGTAAGCAAGACATAGAATGTGGGGAAGACCTTGATGTATTTTGATATTTATGATCCCTCTTTTTGACACTTTGAAGCCTCAAAAGGAAGTTTAGTGTGATACTATGATGGGAACAACCTTGAAAGTACAGCTGAGGACTTTGCTTTGTGATTGTGTATAACTTCTGATTGTGACCAAGGTCTAAAAATAAACTGCTTATTTAAAGTTTGGGGGGTGGGAGGGGGTAGACGTTTAGTCATATTTTCACAGTTAACTGAACGTGGGTGAATGGATAGTTCTTGGACTGAAGATCCACATCTATGGCTTGAGGGGAGATGTTGGCTATATGGAGTTATCAAACAACTGTGGAGCAGACAGGCACACTGCCTGTGCCATGGGCTGGTGGTGGAATCCCAGTGTGGCTGAGCACAGCTACCATGAAGCAGCCAGAAGGTGGGTCCCCAGCCCAAGCAGAAGCCTGAGGCTGGGAGCTGCAAGTGGCTCTTTCTTGAAATAAAACATGACTCAGTAGTACTTAAGTATTATCCCTCAGAGAAACACCAAAGTACTTGCTTTGTTGTGTTTGTGCGGTGTGTTCTGTGTGTTGGTTCTGGCTTTTTTTTTTCCACAGGAAGCATGGCAAGTTGTCCTGCGTATCTCCTTGTGCTTGGCAGTGGTGTTGGCAGTTGTAAATCTGCTCTGGAGGTTTCCTTGCTTATGCAGTGTAGAGCTGTCAGAACTGCATACTGAAAGGAGCAGGTGTTGTATTAATTCTGTGAAACTAAAGAATAATAAATACATAAGAAGCAAGATAAAAACTAGCTCAAACCAGTGTTGTGTTAGTTATTTTTTTTTTCAGTCACAGTAAGAAAGTGCTTTATCAGATCAGTGGGTGCCTCCCACTGACTTTTTTTATTCTTTTTTTTTCTGAGTACTTGTTCATTTCTCTGCCAGTGGAAAGTTTTTGAGTACAGAAGACCAGCAGCCTTCTGTTATCATCTGCAGGCAGCTTCTCTCCATCAGTGGGGTAGGGTTTTTCTGCAGGTGTCTTAAGCACACAGTTGAACTGCTCTGCTTTTCCACCTTCTACTTATGCTTCAGGGCATCCTTTAACATTGGTCTTGCTGCACGGCTAAGTCCTTTATTCAGTGTGTTTTCAACTGTCTGTGGCGTGGCTGGAGTGATTTTGGACTTGCTGAAGTCAGTGGAAAATGCAGCTTTGGTGAGCGTTGAGATCAATTGCAGCGTAACTGCTATATTGACAGCCTGCTCGCCTATAACATGTGTAATGGAAAATGCATTTTACTGTTCCCATTTGTGAACTTTAAACAGCTGTGAGGTCTTATTTCTTTTCTGGAGTAAGAACCACTGGTATTAACTGAGGATAATGTTTGTAGTGCTGCAACTTAGACTGCTTCTTCTCTTTCATAGAATCAATCACAGAATTACTCAGGTTGGAAGGGACCTCAAGGATCATCAAGTCCAACTGCAGCCTAACCATAGTACCCTAACTCTAACAACCCTCTGCTAAATCATATCTCCAAGCACCACATCCAAATGGCTCTTGAACACATCCCTGGGGAGCCTATTCCAATTCTCTTTCTCCTCAACCCAGGCCATTCTGTGTTTCTATGTCTTGGTTCGTAATTACATTTGAGGTCTGCCTAAAAGAACATACCCATATGTGCATATGAGTACCAGAACACTCTACTTCCACTAATTCCATTTTTTTCAAGTTACTTGATGGAAAAAATGATATATTCAGAATATTTTCAGGCAGCTTCTTGATGCTGAAATATTAACTTTAGAGCTGGCTAAGAAAGTTGGTTCACCACCGTTAACAACACCATGCGTCTTTCCAGCAAGATGTGCAGGAGGGTTTTGCTGAGCTTTTGCTTGGGAAATTGCTTGCTCTGACCTCTGGCCCAGCAGAGAGCTGCCCTCTGGGAGGGAAGGAAGAGGGAAGCTTTTGGATCTGTTTGGTTCGGGAAGAGGATGCTGATGCTGAAAAGCTGCTGAGGAAATAGCATAATGTGGTAGCTGAGAGGGTCAGTGGGTGTGTTACCTGACAGTAACTGGATGGTGTGTGAGATGTAAATGGGAAAGGCAAATTGCAAATCTTTTTTCTTGTGGCCGTTGTATTTATGTAGGCAGTATATGCATGCCAGCCAGAAATAAATCTGCCTCGTTCTTCCTGAGTATATGTCTACACAGGGCAAGCTGGCTGTTTTGTGTAGCAGCAGAGGTGGTTAAGATTTTATCAGGATTTCCAGTGAAAGAGTGGATTTAAAATATAAATTAATGACAGGATTTTTGGATTTGGCCTAAGTGTATGCTTTCCCACACAGAAGTCCTAAATCCATAAATGCTGTGAAACTTAGCCTGAGTTTTATCCAACATGCAGAATCTGGAGGGTTTGTCAGCATTTTTCTCTGTTGCAGAATTCAGAGAGGCTTTTGGATTCTGCCAGCTTCGTGTATTCTCTGCAGGGCCACCCAGATAACACTGGTGTCTCCCAGAGACCACTGCAGCTACAGTGCTGCCTCTGCTTTATTTTTACAAAGGATAAGCAGGGGTGTCCGCTGCAGCTGCTGTTGGGATCTTAGTGAAGATCAGGGGTGCTAGGATGAGCCCTGGGACACAGGGTGATTGCCAGGAGTATTCTAAGTATTCCCAGATAGGGACTACCCCGGTGTTTCTGTCACTGCTAAGCAGAGAATCTGCACGTCATGAATTGAAAAGGCATAGGAATGGGATCATTTTAATAAATAAATTCTTAGTTATGGTGCAAACATGTTTTCTTCTATGTACAGAATGGAGTGTGGCTCTTCCTGCTGTTTACTAATGTCCAGCAAAAGCAATAATGACCTTTGAAATAATAATTAAATGGTAAACTGATGTCTTTTTGGTGTTTTTTACAGGTCAATTTAGATTTTGATACGAGACATTAAAGATGACACCAAAGCACGAAAAACAAGTAAGTGATGTTTCAATAAAAATAACTCTATTTTGGGTTGGTGTGAACTGTATTTCGTTAAGATTTATAGTTTGTCATCTGATATCCATCAGATTAAGTAAAATAACTGGTTGTGGCAATTTTTAACATTTTTCACTATAGTGAATAATTCCAAGAAAGCATATCTGTTTCTTCCATACAGCAGACTAAACCTGAAGTCAGAATGACCTTTATCTTTTGGAGTACATCCAGTTTAAAAACACTCATACATGGGTGATTAGGCTGAGCTGTGTTAAGGGGTACAAAGCATAGTAATAAATAAAATAAGGCGACATTTTTAATGGCTACTGATGCAATCTCATTAATAATCTGCAACCTAAACTTTGTTCATTTTAGAATACTAGAACAGAGAAGTGAAACTGATCTGTTGCCTCAACTGAGAAATGTAATTCCCTGCCCCCAGTCCACTCCACTTGTGTAGATTTTGAAGGAAGACAATCTGATGGAGTATTTAAACCTCATCTGATCCTTCTCTGAAGTTGCACAAAATGCAGCATCACATAATTTTTTTGCTTGTCTGGCAGTGATTTCTGGGTCTTCGTGACTTCTGGTGCAGTTACCTCATTTTTAGGATCTGGATTAAATGAAATTAAAATGGATCTCTGTAGTACATGGCAAATTGTGATTCCTGCTTTGCAGGCCAGGTTAATTTAGTTGAGCAGTGCCAATAGATTAAGTGGGACTAATGATATGTAACTAATTAAAGCTCACCAAATGATCACCCATTTTGCCACCATTTCTTCTGTAATTATATTTTAAATTCTTCAGAAGTGGATAAAAGCTGAAGATACAAACAAGATTTCATTGACTTAAGTGCTAAGTACTGATGTAATAGACCTTGAAGACCATGCAAATGCAGGAGAGACCAAAGTCTTTCATTTGTGGCAGTATCTCTGTCTACTATTGCTTGTAGGCTGGTACTAAGGGACAGCTGTAGGTAGATTTCTGAAAGCAATAGTTTTTTTGAAAAGGATATTTTTCTGTTCAAACCATGCAGTTTCAAACAATTTCATTGAAATAATAAAATGAGTTCACTGAAGCATTCAAGGATATAAGTTGATTTGCAATTAAAAAATGTGTGAATGAGTCTTTGGAGGCAAATGAATTTTCTGATGAAATTAAATCACTGCTAGTGTTCTGTAGTAATGCTGTGGGCCAGGAGCATCTCCAAGCCGTTGGACAAACAGGTTGATGAAGAGCAAACTCTGCAGGCAGTTTTTAGGAAGAATTCCTTTGAAATGCTCAGCTGCTGATGCTTCTGCTGTGCTCCATGTCCTCAGGAACCACAGGGATGCTGTGCTTCCTCCTTTCTCCAGTGCTGTTGAGTAGGCTCCAGGACTGGTTTGTTTTTAACAAGGTAGTAATAAAATGTTTCCGTCTAACCAATGAGCACTAAGAATTGACTGCTTCAAGCTAAGATACCTTCTGCACTGGAGGTTAGTGTGAAATGCAGAAGTGTGAGAAGCTCTGGCCTCAGCAGGCACACACAGAAAAGAGAACATGAATTCCATGGCAGTGCTGGTCTCACACATGATGCAGTTAGATTTTAAGAAACAAGTTGAAGCCCTGGCTCTGCTTCTGCCATGACTGACCCAGCAGGGAGCCCTTGTTCTTTGTGGTTTGTTATAGCCCAAACCAAACTTAGTTATGCAGTAGCTATAGCAGTCTATCTGCTGATTACTGATTTAGCAGAGAATCTCAGTATGATCTAATTGTGTGCTTCCTGTGTTGCAATATACTTTGCTGGAATCAGGTAATAAAGAGCTTAAACTGACATGCTCCAGGGTTAGCGCACTGTCAGAAGAGTTGAAAGCTGCCAGCAACCAGAGCTTTGCAGGAGCAGCACCTTCTGAGTTGTTGTTTTTTTTTACCACTGCTACCATCAGTGAAATGGGGAAAACAGAGAATTTGCACTTCTGATATTTTGTCTGTCTCATGGGCAATGTGATGCATTTATGTCCTAAATAGCAGAAATAATGTCACTGTTCATAGAAGGACTAGTGTCTTCCTGTCTCCTTAGATTATCTGTGGGAGCTATTAAATCCCATACTTTGCTGTCAGCTCCCAACCACTTACCCCTCAGGCAGAAGCTTCATATACTTGTGGCAGTAGCTCCCCTCCAGCGTCTAAGCCTTCTACAGGAAAAGGATTTAATGAGCACCAGCAAATTTGCATGTGCATATCATCTGGACAATGCTGAGTAACTCACTCCTTAGCTTGTGTGCCTGCTTAGGGCTAACAGATCTTTCCTACCTCTCTCACCTGCATGGCAATCCTGGACAAACAGAGTTATAATAAACCTCCTATTGGACCTGATGTAACATACTGGGGGGGAAAAAAGAAGAGGCATATCTTCTCTTACCTTCTCTTCATCCACTGAGAGTGTGGCTTAAGACATTTACGTGGTCCAGGAATGATGTGTTTTATTCTTCATGCTTGAATTGTTAAGCTGCAGAATATTCTGGAGTGATGCACTGCCTTTCATGCAGTATTCATTGCATCAGAGAGGAGGGAAGGAGATGACTGTGCATAAGTGGTTCAGACACTAGGATGGGAGAGAAGAGCTTGGATTTCAGATGTCTCTCCATCAGTCAGCAGATATATATATATATATATATATATATATATATATTTTTAGGAAGTAATGATTTGAGTGAGATTTCAGGTTCTGACTTCAATACTGTCCTGATCAGTGTGGGCCACAGATATACCTGCATGTTCTCTTTGGCACAATACTGATAAACTCAGTTTAAACAAATCATTTTCTCTCTACTATTCCCTTGCTACCAGTTTTACTATCCAGCCTGCATAGAGGAAAGATTGCAGCGCTCTCAGTGAGAAATGCCCTGTGCAATATGTGATCGATCCTTTTACTAATGGACATCCTGATGGAGAAACTCTTTTTCTAGGAGGATTCATGGGAAATAATGTTTTAGGAGTTACTGACTAATCAGATGCATATCAGTGGCACCACGGAGCATGAGGTTATCACCTGATATTGTCCAGAGCATGGAGATTTGGACTAAAATGCAGATGGAACGAATGAAGCACACAGTCATCCACTGCAAGATGATTTTTATTTCTCCCTCTCATGGTAGATTTTTCCCATATTAAAAATAGATATTTCCATGTCAAATTTCCTATTTTCCTACTGAGAAAATAAAAATAGACTTCTCAGAAACACTGTTTTTGTGGTCAAGTTCTAAATATTGGAGCTTGTGGGTTATGCTTGACTTTAGAGCATTGCATTGTTGGGGAGGGGGGGAATCTCCAGCAGAAGAGAAAGGAGATTTAAAACAAAGAAAAGTCTTGTTTGCCCCAGCTGCTGTTATGGTATATTCTTCCTTTTGGAGCAAATCCAAATGGAACGGAACATTTCAGTCTTCAGTGCTTGTGTCTACATAACCTTAGTGCTGCCCTTTTCCTCTGTCAGTACGCCTGTTCCCCCTATGGGACTGTAACTGTGAGAGTACATATAAACCAGACCTTGGGGTCACTTTGGCCATTTTGTCATTTATATTTGACCCTAACTACTTGGTTTGCTTCAGTTCTTAAGGACAGAGTAGCAAAGTGCCACTGGTTCCTAAGCTGGCAGCTACAGAAAACACAGTCATGAATTAAGAGGCATATCCTGACAGAAGCTGCTCCACTCATTCCTGGCTTGCTGAGCAGTCATATACTTTTTTTGTTCTTATTACTATGCACACCTGCTGTGCTTCTGCATCTAGTAACGCTGCAGAGTTGTTTCACACAGGAGGTAGAAATTACTTTTTCTTTTCCCTCAGTCATCCTTAACTGAACTAGCAAGGAATTCTGTTTTAGGGCAGATTGGAGATTGTTCATGAGGATATTTAGGCCAGTTTCACAACTGGAATTCAAGTGAAAGCTGAGTTTGGATAGGAAGTGTTTTGCTTATGAATTTCACAGTTTCTAGGAGAAGGAATGAACAGAGATGCTGCTTGCTGATAGTTTTCTTTTGGAATGATGTAGTTTCCAGTGCAGTAGTCTTCCACTCTTAAGGTCAGACACTTTGTACTGTCAGCAATAAATTCTGATTTGGAGGGAATTGTTGTTTTAGGCTTTGCAGAAAACACATCGTTCTTGAGTGCATGATAGATACATCCTCAAAAATAAACAAGAAAAGCCAAGCAAAAAAACAAAAACAAAACCACAAACATTAGACAAAGTATGTATAACATGGCATAATTGGCAGATCTGCCATTCTGGGAAAAACAAAGGGAACTGGGAGAAAGAAGACAACTTGAAAATGATTGTAGCAGGCTAATGTAAAACTTCCCTGAAATTTTGTTTTTTTTGGGGGGTTCTGTTTCCCAATTTGTAAGGCTGGATTGCAGCATAGTCTTATGACAGAAGGTGAAGTATGTTTTCATGTGGTCTGTGGGAAGAGTTCAGCCTCACCCAGCACAGGTAAACAGCAGATCACTTGAAGATAGACAAGCCTTCTAAGGGTAACCTAACTTCTGTAGCAAGACTGGGAGGGGAAGGAATATATAGAGAGGAGAGTAAGACAATTACTGCCTGAAACTGCTGTTATCTGTGTAATGTTTGTCACCAGAGGCCTGAGCCATCTCCCAGAGTAATCTTCTGCCCCCAAACTCTGCTTACACCCTTACAGGGCCTGTATGTGAATCCTGACCTTGTACAAGGCTCAGTTACAGGGTGGCTTAAGCACTGTTTGTGACACCATGTCTGCATCCATAGTAAGCAGTTAGGGCTACTTGAGTTAAGCCATTGTTGTTATCCCAGTAGGGTTTTGTATCCTAGCAAAGGCTTGAAGGTTAAAAGAGAAGGAACAGACTCAGTGTATGATTTCACTGTTTCAGAGAAATGGTAATGAGAATTGGAATGAAGGCTTCCTGGATTCAAGACGTCTGTAGGGGAAGTACTGCAGGTCTTGGGAAAGGCTGTACATTTTGGGTTTCTTCTCTAGTTGTTTAATGTTTATCTTGCTTCATTCTGACCTCAGCCTTCGGTAAATGAAGAAAAAAAAGAAACACCCATTGCTCTGCTGAAGTTAAGGTTCTCTAAATTGGAGCTTATGCTGACTGTGTGGCAGTTTCCGGAGGTGTCCTGCTGTACTGTAAAACATTTGGACTCTTGGGTCAGTGCCGTATCACCCAGGTGCCTGCCTACTACAGCACTTGTAGCAGGTCTTGTTTCTTGTATGGGTAGAGTCTGAAAGGTGTTCAGCTTCCACAGTAGTGAAACTTGGTGACTGCTTAACTGGAAATTAAAAGTGCATGAGGCTTTCTGTGCAAATCATGTGGCCTGGAGCCAATGACAAGGTAACCCATATCTATCCCACAGCATATCCAATAGTAATTTTTTATAATAATGTTTCAGTATAGTAGAGATTTAAGGGAGCTGTTTACTTACAAGCTTATTTTGATTCCTTACAAAGGAGAAGGCTATAGAAGGTCACTTGGAAATGAAGTAATTTGAGGAACCTAGGCAACAGGAAGCAAAATGGAAAGATGATATGGCAATTGATGCTGGGAAGGGATCTCAAGGTTAGTTATGAGCAGGCTGTTTACGATTTTGACTCCTGGGTGCCAATTGTTAAGGAGGAGAAGAGGGGATAAAAAGCTACAAAGAACGCAGCAGAGGAGAATCAGCCTCCGGCACTCTTCAGTGAAGAAAGAAGTAGCAGATGTGGTAGGAAGCTATTAAATAGGCTTTAGTTGGCATGACACTCATGACAGATACCAAAATGGTGCCCAAAATGCAGAAAGCGCCCCTGTGACTAGCAGGGGCTACACAGGGTAAATCTGTGGGCTGGATACAGCCACCAGGCCACAGGTTCCCATCTCTGGAGTAGCTCTTCTGTGATAAATGGTTGAGTCCAGACCTTGCCACATACAGAGGGCAGTTACTGGTCAGGAAAAAAGTCTCTTTTCCTGCCAAGGCTGTCCTTCTTCTCCTGGCAGTCTGTTCCATGTGTGCTGCTGGTGTATATGGTGGAAGGAACTTCGCTGAAGAGTAAAGCTTTATTTCTGGTATCTGTGGTTTGGGTATGGAGAGACGCAGTTTGAGAGCTTTCTAGTTCAGGATTTTTTGAAAAGAGAAATACTGAGAAAGCGTATAGTTGATTTCTGTACCTGGCTATTAAGTGCAGTGTCTTCTTCTCAGGAAAAATGTCTCCACAGCTGAAGATTATGTGCTTGTCTTTCAGTCTGTGAGTGGTTGCCCTAGCTCTTAGGGGTAATCACTTGTTTTAGCAACTGCTTTTGGGCAGCCTGTTCTTTTTGCTGTGGAAATAGCAAATAGGTAGACAAGGCTTTCAACCTTTGTATTTTAAAGAAAACTTTTCCATCTCAGTATGAACACACAGTTTTACCATATGAATACATCTGTATATGTATTTTAAATTGTAATGCAGGATTTCATATGGTCGTTAGCTGAGGAAGCATGTGATTCTTCAGCTGCTCCCAGTTACCATTGCCACAATGCCCACAGGCCTCACTCACTCCTTTGGGATCACTCTAAATTGTAATATAAAGCTGTAAGGAAATGGATTAGATGTGACAACCACGAGGACAAATATTCTGTATCACTGTATGATGGAAACAGAGAATTGTGCTCTGCAGGGTGGCTGTGTTGCTTTCTTGTACAGATTGCTGGAGAGGCTGGGATAGCAGTACCCTCATCCTGCAGTCCTCAGCTGTGCTCTGTGCCTTAAGTTCCTGGTATATCAGAAAACATAAGGGGAGCATTCATCTCCTTGCACACTGGATCTGGACTCTAGGCTTTGGATCATGGTTCATGATATCAAATCACATCCAGGGCAATTAATAGTAGTACATTCTTATCCACTGGGCTGGAGCAAGTAATTTCAAGTATGGAAGGAAGGCAGTTCTTCAGTTTCTTGTGGAAGTACAGAGTGGTTACCTCTCAGATCCCTGGAATCAATATGTGTAAACACTTGATTAAAAAAAAAAAAGAGAGATAAAATGACAAAAGAATTTTAGGGGCAAATAAAGCATTATGTTTAAGTATTGGGTACACGGAACATGTTTGTAATACTTTTTCTCTTTGGTGAATCCTGTACAAAGGTGGGAAAAGCCAATTTTAATGCTTGCCTGGCTGTATCTCACTTTAGTGACTTAGTGTGTTAGATTTTTAGTTCTTAGCTTCTGAGATCACCACCCTCCCATGCATGAAGCATGTATGACTTTTCATCATATTACTTAATCTGAAATATTCCCTTTCATCTAGCATTTTGGCAAAGAATTTCCTGGGCATGTGGTATAGCTCAGATGATTCATTGCACTTTGCTTCTCCTTTTATAGCATTGCAAAATTCAATAAAGCAGCAGTTCAGCTTTTAATCTGAGTGCAGTAGTTTATGGAGCAGCTGAACAGTCAAGAGAGTCTTTCAGGTTCTCTTTGTTTTCTGAAATTAATTGCTTGATTTTTATGATGCACCTGCAGGAATTTGTTACTGTTTTGGTGCGAGACCCCAGGACACAGAAAGAAGACTCATGGCATTCTTACATAGACTACGAGATATTTATTCATGTGAGTATAAACATATCACCAGAGATTCTTTGGACTCGTACTACTGCTTCTGTCCAAGTTGGGATTCACTGCAGATATTAATAGAATTTCTTTGCAACAATTGTGGGAGGCTGTAGGATATTAGTCTCCTTTTAATGATTGAGCTGCAGTGGAACAGGTAAGGATAGACTGGCCAAAGACTATGCAGAAAAGTGCATGAGAGAGCTGGGAGTAGGACCTGGTATTGCACTCACAGTTGCATTTCACAGTGTCTTACAACAGATGCTATTCCTGGCTTTACTTATCAACTTAGAAGACTGTCAGGATCAGTGGTATTTTACCATTACAAAAGAATTTTGGTGTTCAAGTATTCATGCCAAAAACAGCTTTATTTGCAAGTATCTGTTTATTTGTACTTCGAGTTCTTCTATTTGACAAATTACTTGGTTACTGCAATGTGCTTGTTTTCAGCATACCTTGACAGTCATAACATGCCAGCTCACTGGTGCTTGGATGTGTCAAATAAGGATATTCATAATTCATAATTGTAGTTTACTATGTGTTAATGGGAGTGCCCTTAGAGTCATAGCCTCTTGTGTCTTAAATCTGTCTTATGTATACGTTTATTTTCTTCAGTGGATGTGAGTTACCTTAATTTCCTAAACTAGAAAAGTTATCTTAATTTCCTAAATCTAGATCCAGGGTTTTTATTACAGTGTAAATAAAATTTTCTGAAGTGTATCAGCTATTGGATGAAGAGTTTGAGAACACCAAGTTTACATGGTTAGCACAAGAAAGAAAGAATTTCTCTTTGTGGGAGTTAAGCACTCAGTATAATGAGAGAAGTCAAATGATTGCTTGTTAAATGTCCATCGTGACAAGTACTACTACCCTGTGTGTCAGTCAGCTGTGAAACTTCTGCAATGTGGTTTCAGTGCTGATTCAAAAGTGATAATAGTTTTGACATACACTTAAGAGAAATTCTTTCAATTTGGCTGTGGGTGGTGTGCTGTGTTACTGTTTCCATAGGCAGTAGTGTTTCTCAATAGAAGTGTAGTACTGTCTTCCTCAGCAGTTGTTAGAATCATAGAATCATATGGGTTGAAAAGGACCACAATGATCATCTAGTTTCAACCCCCCTGCTATGTGCAGGGTTGCCAACCACCAGACCAGACTGCTCAGAGCCACATCCAGCCTGGATGGTTAATTTGGGACAAAGTCATATAGACACAGTGTTACATGACTCATTGCTGAGCATCTTTGAAGCTGGTAAGCATCAGCTTAGTTTCCTGCTGGGACTCTCTGACCAAGTATCTAGATCAGTCCTACCACCCAGTCTACCAGTTGGATTCAAAGTCTTGGTTCTGCCAGGTTCCTAGACCAGCTGGATTCCCTTTCTGTCTATCTCCTAGAGTATCTGACTTCTTAAGCAGTGTGCTAGCCAGGATACTCATCTGTTTCAGAAAGCTGGCATCTTTGTGCCTTGCACAGTCTGCATTGTACAGCTGGCTAAGAGCTCTCAGCAAGATACTGAGGGCTGGTTGGACTGCAGACAATTTTATAATGGAATCTTGTCTAGGAGATGGGGTTTCACCTAAATGTATGCTCCACAGAAAAACTTGGCAAAAGCATTTAATCTTCATGAATTGTTTCTCTTTGGATTGGCATTTTCTGGTGGGGAAGTAGTATTCTATGGGAAAATTTCCAATTGCTGCTGCTTGCAGAGTGCAGTTTCTTCAACTTAAGATTGCACGCTGTTAGAACAGCTAATTGTTTGCAGAACTATAACTAGAATAGCTAAATGAGGCTTTTTTTCTGTAAAGTTTGGCATTGTCTGCTAAAACTTTTTTTTCTTGATATAGGAAATTGTATCATTATCCTGATCTCTCGATTTTAAGAATAAAAGAAAAAAAGGTGATGAAAAATATTTCTCTGAGAAGCAGTACAAACTGTCACCAGTCCTGTCTGAGATACAGCACAATCCTTAATGTAAACTGAATTAATGTTAAGCTTTTCGCTGGTATCACAAGGATTAGCATCCCAAATGGTTTTTGATATCATGCCTGCACTTTATGCTGAGCTGGTTTACAAAATATTTTTTTACTTAACTTCCCAACAGACAAACAGTATGTGCTTTACGAGGAAAACATCCTGTGTTAGACGACGCTTCCGAGAATTTGTTTGGCTTCGGCAGAGGCTTCAGAGCAATGCTGTGCTCATGTGAGCAACTTTTTATTACTGGTTTGTTTCATTAAATATCTATTTAATTATCTATCAATAACACAGGGAAGGGGAGCATTGTTTCCTCTTAATTCTGAGAGCGGTACAAATCAGAACTGGAAAGTGTCCTGTGTTTCCTATTACTACAGTTTATAGAATCATAGTGTTTTAAGCTCAGAAGAATGTGGTTTGTACTGATAACCTTGTTTGGTGAACCCCGATCTAATTTCTAACAGATCTGAGCTGTTTCCTTTTGCTGCATAGAGGTAGTGGAAACAACCGATGTGGCCGACACAGACTACTAGGCCATGCTGAGCTTGGGGCTGTTCTGCTTAAACTAGCTGATAACAACAGCATAGGTGTACCTTCTGTGAGCTTCTGGGATGTGCATGGTAGACCCTAAGAACATAGGGGGACTAGGCAGGCATACCTGCAGTCTTATCTTCTTCTGGACCAGAAGAATCTGAGTCATTCCTCCTTCTGAGGTATTGTCAGAAGCCCTCTGATTTCTCAACTTTGCGTTGTCAAGTTCAGTTTAATGAGGCTTCTGGAATATAACTCATTATTTTAAAAAATGTGGGATTGGCATTTGCTTATATCATTTTTCTTCTTTCCTTTAGCCTTGGTTTTAACTGTGTATTTGCTTGTTCTTTATAAAGACAGTTACCTGAACTGCCATCTAAAACTCCCTTTTTCAATATGAACAATCCCCATCATGTGGACCATCGTCGCCAGGGTCTGCAGGAGTTTCTGGAGAAGTAAGTATGTCTTGTCTTAGTGAGGCTGGCTTTTTTATGATGTCATCAGTTTTAATTGGACATAGTTCATCTCTGGTACCTGAGAGCCACCTTGTGGTCATCTGTACATGCTACATATTTTGCTTTATTTGCGCAAAGTCATATTTCATACAAGTGAATTCAGCTGTACAGGCTGTCAGAAATTGTCAGCTTGAGGTTTTCTATCATTTCATTGACTGATTAGTAGTAATGGCTTTGTATTTATGTTGCTTTGTGATTTGTTATTAAGGTTGAAAAATATTTCATGGTGATGTCTTCTTATGTCTTCCATGAATAAGCTAGGTATTGTTTATACAAAGAAACAGACTTCTTTCCATCTCTATATTCATGGAATATCAGTGTCTCTGTAATGAATTCTGGGGTCTGTACCACTGGGAGCTTGGGAAAATTCGATAGTAAGTTCTTCTAACATGGATACTACCTATAATGCCAATTACTGTGTTTACCACTGCCAACATAAACAAGCTCTAGCAGCTGTGATAATTTTCACTACAGCTGCAGATTGTATAAAATCATTCAGCTGTGTGGTTATGTAAAAGATTTACATAAATGAACATAGCTAGACTGTGACCTGAGTAATAGGGGAGCACTGTGTTAGTCCAGCAGTGCATTGCTCAGTAATGCTGCTATAAAGCCCTTCACCATCTGCAGTGGCAGGAACCTCATTGCTGTAATTTTCTGCTTCCTCTGCCATTATCCTCTATCTTGCCACTGCTGTTATGAGTGCAGACCTGTTCAGTGTTGCTAAGGCAGAACTGTGAATGACTTTGGATGCTGCCTTTAACCTCTGTTCAGATTAAGAACATAGCAAACCTGAGAACAGAGACATTAATCTTCTATTGTTATTAACGTTTCTGTGAAGCAGAGCTGCATAAGGAAGAAAAATCATTTAAGAAGACTTCAAACCTTATGGTCAGGAGGCAGAGGAATAGTGGACCCACTGTTCTTCCAGTCAGTATGTTACAATTGTAGGTTTCTATAGCAGACTGTAAATGCTTGTTCCTGAAGAACATATGTTAAGCTGAACAACTGAAGGCAGGGAGAGCTAGCCATTGCAAAGGCAGCGGGAATATTTCCATGTACAGTTGTATACAGGATCTGTGGCCAGAAGGTTAGTTGATAAATACTGGTTGAGGGCATATAAGATAAGGAAAAGCAAGCAGAAAAGGATTACTGTGTATTTTCTTACCCTCAGGAGAGAAAGACACCGAAATATTGCCTCTAGAAGCACAATTACTAATTCTGATGGTCAGCCAAAGAGTCTGGTAGTTCAGTCCCTGTGTCTGAGCAATTCTACGTTATCTGTGCCTCCTCATGGAGTAGTGAATTTTCAAAATCACTCTTATTTTAAAATGTTAACAGATTGGCCTCTGCACTAAGGTATGTTATTTCAGCGTCATAAATAATAACAACAACTGCCTGTGCTTCAGGAGGTAAAACACAAAGGTAGATTCTCTTGAAACAGATCATCACATTCTGATTTTGTGGATGCTTGTTTTGACAGGGTACTGACAGGAGAAAATGATGGCTTGTTGAGCATTTTGCCTTGCTGCTGTTAGTCCAGGAGTGAGGAAAGAGGCATCTCTGCTGTAAGGAAATGATTTAAACGTTTCAATTTGGATGCCATTTAGAAAGGTGTCATCTTTCCCTCAGCCCTAGGGTCTAGTTGGAATTTGCAGAGATACAGTTGTGTTGTGATGAATTGACTTGGCAAATTGCATGCTGTACCATTGCCCTCTGCTGGCTGGCATGTTAGACGTACTGCTATAGTAGGGATCATTTTGTTGAGTGATCCATATTGCTGTGATGCTTCTTTTATTTCTTTCTAAATAAGTTAGGACCAAAGGACTTACTAGATTTTACACTGAAAAAGCATCTGGGGGACTCATTAACTAGTGTGTTGTCTTTAAGTCTTATATGTGATCATTGCTGATTTTGGACTGCTCCAGCTAATCCTACTGAAAGCACTCCAATTCTTCTGTCTTAATATATTGGTGGTTTATATATAGTTTATTTATACAGCTGATTTTTCTTTGTGGGATGAAATCTGTGCCACTTCTGTGCATCTGTTGAGGCAAAGGTTTATAGGTAACAGATTTCAAATGCCCACATGTAAGGAACCCAACCTTTATTCAGTATGCTATAAGCTTATTGGATTGAAATCATACCTGCACTGGAGTTCAGGTTTGTAAGAATTTCTCATTCTGCTCTGTGCCCATTGCTCTGTGTGAGAAGTTGCTGCAGCTTCTGCCAGGGCAGCAGCCACATGCCAGAGGAGTAAGGATTTTGCTGCTGGAGGCAGCACCCTGGGAGCACCTGGCATCCTATTTTTGTCAACTGCTGTAAAGTCCCTTTGTTGTTCACATGTCACTCAACACAGGTAGTTAGCATGGTGAGGTGCTTAGAAAGGACCTCTGTGTAGCTTCTTCCTATAGAATGTGCCAATAGCTAGAAACTATATCCAAGCTATACAATTTGGCGAAGTCTGAAAATGTTTCCCATTTTGATTTGGCTTTCCCACACCAGCACAGGGTAAGACCTGCTATTCTTACAGGTTATTATCTCTGAATGATGAAGAGCTGTAAGGCTTACTTCTTGCCTGGGCATAATTTAATATTTCAAAAGTCCATTTGCATTAACGGAAGCCAGCTAGCCCATTTTCAATTACAAATTACTTTGTAAGAATCAGGAAGATTGTGTTTTTTTCCTGGTATGTATCCTGGTATGTACATTTGAGGATGTCTGTAGGTTGATTCACTGAAAAGCTTACTCTTAAATTAGAAGTCAAAATTGAAGCACTGCCTTATAGAACTAGGTTCTACAAGATCCCTTTTGCTTTCATCCCTGAATAACTGTAACTTTGGGATTCAGCTTGCCTTCCTTCCCACAAGCATAAGCTGGCATAGAGGTAGAGGACTCTTTCCTGGAGAGGTCCCCAGACAGTGACATATGGAAAGTGGGGGGCTGGTTCTGAAGAGGATGGATCCCAGCCTGCCAGGGCCTATGTGGCTGATTGGTCAGCACCGAGCAGCAGGAGCACTGCAGCCACGGGCAGGTAGGATATACTCCTGTGAGTGATGGCTGCCTCTTTCCAGTGGAGCTGTTCTGAGCAAAGCATTGAAGCTTTTTCCTATCTGGTGAGGGAAGCGAACCCACTGAAATGAATAACGCTTAGCAGACGTGCTAATTCTCAAATGTATTCATTATCAGATCCTAAACAGTTGCTTCACAGTTGCTCGCTATCAGTAACATTTCCTCTGTTATAAAAAATGAATGAGGAGACACAGTAGGCTTTTTAAAAGGAGGAAATGGAGCTTTGTTTACTGCAGACTGTGCAGCCCTGCGCTCACTGCAAGAGGCCGAGCGGATGTTCAATAGAGGGCACCACAGCCCAGGCTGTGATCTGCTGTCTCTCAAGTTTTATTTTCTCCTTTCCCTCCTGATATGATGTAAATGGGCAGAGTAAATTTGTTGAAAACAAAATCGGAGTGTTAACCTTCCACACATATACGAGTGTGCATCTGTCATTGTATTAGGTTACAGTAGATACAGGAAATCTTTAGTTAGGATTAAGTTGTACTGTTCGGCCATATGTTGTTCTCCTCCAGCAGAACAGTGTATAATATACCTAATAAAATCATGTTGAAGAAAACCAGATTTTGGACCTTGTCCAAATAAGACAAAGCACATGTTTTGTCTTTAGTAAATGTTCTTGCTGTAAGATGGGGAAGGAGAAATACTCCTCATATACTACCCAGCGTTTCCTCAAAAATGACATTACTACTTTTAGTTATGAAGTCATATTTTCTGCCCCTTTTCTTTAAGGGTCCAGAAATCACGAGCACTTACTGAAAGCTTACAAACAGAGATTCACATGGCCACGAATAAAAAATGATTTTATTATCTCTAATTCAAATGTAGAGCCTTCTCCTGCAGCCCTCTTAATCACATAAGCAGTCATTATGCATGTGAGCAATCTGGCTGAGAGGAGTGAGATCTCTGACAAGTAATGACTGCTGATGTGATAAAGACTTGCAGGATTTAGCCCTTCGTTGTTATTCTAGGCATGCACAGAAAGTCTGTTGTTCTCTTAAATGTGTCCAGTGAGTTTATAGGAATTATCACTGTGAGCCCCATGACTCTGACATTAGCACAACTGCGGAGGGAGCTGATTTACATCACTGCAACTGCAGCTTTGCATTGACACCTGTAGTCATAAAACTGCTGGAGGAACACCGTCAGTGCTCCTGGTTGGATTCAAAGTGTGAATGCTTAGCTTGTGCTATGGTATTAATATTACATATGAGTATTAATATTAGGGCGTTCCACCTTTTCTTCTGCTTTTCTTTATTTGTGTGTTGTGCTGTGAGATTTTGACCTTGCAGTCCATGGAGCCCAGTGTGTATTTCAGAGGTGCAGCACCTTGCACAATGAGTCCCCAACTCAGTGAGGGCCCATGGGGTGGCTGCTCTGCCAGCCCTCAGTGCTGCTCCCACACCTGGCCACCAACGTGTGGTTATTTCCTTGGAACAGGATTTCCAACAGGAAAACGATGGAGCAGAAATTATTTTTCATTTTGATTGCTAGAAGGATGCAATTAAAAAGCAATCTAACCTGTTGGTTCAGATGAGGGGGTGAAAGCAGTTATTTCTTAATTAAAAGAAAAGAGAAACGTTTCAAGGGTACAACTGGGTGAAAGGTGTGTGTGTGTTCGCGTTTGTTTTAACTGCTTTGCAGAATGCATTGTGTGTTTGACGTCTTCCCCGCCCCCAAAAGCGTGTGTGCTATTTAGCTTAACCTACGTCTTCCCGTTCCTTCCCCCTGGTTTCTCTTCCGTCGTTTCAGCTCCAGATGGCGCTATGAAGCAGAAAAGAAAATCACTGCGAAATAATGAGTCCAATGTAAAGTAAAATTGGAAATTGAATTATAGCAGCAAAAGGGGAAAAAAGAAAAGAAAAAAAAAAGGACAGTAGCCTTGAGGTCCCGATCGGTCTGTACGCCCATGGCTTTTGTTTGCTGTTCCGTGCGTTGGGTTACTGCTGAGTTAATAACCGCGCTTTCGCAGTTCAAGGCTTAGCAGAATTGCACTGGACGTGAAGTAAAGCTAAAATGAATTTGTGTCCAATATCATTGACATTAGCGCTCATTGCTCCTCTGGTGTAATGCCTCAAACCATCTAAAATCAATTTTAAAGATTAGCCATTATTTTATAAAGAAAATAAAATAAATTCCAAGCAGCAGCCGAGCTGTAAGCGCGGCGTAATGGCACGAGCAGTTAGTTACTTGTGCTTTCGCTGGGTGGCAGGAAACTTTGGAAGGTAGAGGAAGAAGAAAAGCTGTGAAACTAAATGCCATGGGCAGAATCTAATCTCTTGGCTTTTGCTGTGTTACTTTGTATTAGACACGCCAATGCTTAGAATTGCAGAAATGTGCATCCCCTCCTTGTGCTTATAAGCCTGGGAAAACGGGTAGCTCTCCTTCCTTGAGGGGTGAGCTCTGCGACGTTTTTATACTTTTTAAATACTTTTTTTTTCCCTTTTCTTTTAAGAGGAGGAAAAGAGGAAGGAGAAAATTGACTCCCCTGAGCGCATAAACCATAAATGTGGATTTAGTGTGTAGAACAGTGGTTTTTTTCTTGTATTTTCTGTCGCAATGTTTGTCGTCTTTTGGAATGTGTTTATCACGAGTCAAGGCTGAAATCCTCTGTTAGCATCCAGTGAATGATGACTTTTCAAAGCATTCACGAGGCTGGTGCTGTCAAGGTGTGTAGACTTGTAAATTCTGTGATTTGGGTTGACTTACAGGGCATTTGCTTGCTTCTTTATGAGAGCTAAGAAGTTTTTCAGTATGTTAATACACTGCATGCATTGGCTTTACAGATACGTACTCTGTTGGCTATGTTTATTTTTAATTAGAGTTGTGAGAATTTATATGAGGTTGAGAAGACAACGTAGGCATGAAAATGTGTTTGAGTTTCAGTCAAGTCTGTTCCTTCTTAGACAGTTTTATACGCACCTGGTAGGTCACCGGGCTCACTGGAGGCATTTCCTCACTGGAAGAAGTCAAAGTTTGAATTATTTGGTTGAGAATGCGTGTGTGTTTGCCTTGGCAGTGGAAATACGTGCAAACACAAATATCCTACATTTTTAGTTAGACAACTCTTATTATTTGTTTTGACTTGCCGGAATTGTATAGGCTTAGATAAAACCAGACATATGTTAGAATGCTAATTAAATGTTGTAATGTTGGCTACTTTAGAGCATGGATTTCAGAATGTATTTGTATTTTAAAATGTTACAGTCCAAGCACTTCATTAGTCTTATTTGATAGAAGGAACTGATTAGTTATGCATTTAATTTTAATCAGAGTACCTATCAAATGCACTGTGTCTTACTGCTTTTACTACTTCTTGCATTAATGTCATTTCTTGTCTCCTACTGCATAGTAATTATTTTGGGGGGCAACTGTTGTAACCCAAATGGGTAGAAATAGGTAAATAAAGACTCCTAATAGTTTTGGTTTCTTTAAAGATATTTAAGTTTTATGGAGTGCTATTTGGCACGGCCGTAGACAGTAATGACTTTACTCACGTGGATAGGAAAAATTGCACGTGCATATAAGCAAAAGGTCTCTTGTTACACATTGTAGGATATACATACAGAAGAATTCCTTCTGTAGATAAATGCTACAGCAAAACTGCAATATTTTTTTCAAAATAGCGACGGTGATCTGCCAATTTAATTCCTTGCAGAAGTGCCTCTACAGCATTGTGTGTTACTGGAATGTATTACACTTTCTTTACTCCATATTATATGAAAGTAAATGCTGTGTGCTAAATGTATTTGAAGATTTAACTTGAAATACGTATAAGCCAAATATGAAAATGGACTTCTGTAAAGCTAGTATGAAATTGTATGTAAGGTTCTCTGAGAACTACTTAGAGGTACATTTAAAATTGTGCTCAATAGCAGCATTTTCACTCTTGTTTAAAAGTACGTATGTAAACAAGTTCTGGCTAACATTGGCTCTGTTTGCAGGGATTTCAAAGTTCTGACACTGCATGTGTCTGAAGTTCTCTGTCTCTGTACACACTTCTTTGCCCGACCAAAGAAATTGGTGACTTGCAATTTTCAGAAAAAGCATAGCTATTTAAAAACAATTATCAAAACAGAGACCAAATTTTCGTAAGAGTCTCCAACTGCCTGAAAATCATTAATTAATCCGTGTTGTAATAACAGATGGTTACACGGAAGAAACGTCCTTGAAGTTATTCTTATAGCAGATGTGCTTAACTCTTAGCTTTGTTTTTTTACTCACCTGAAATTCCAAATAAGGTAAAAAGAAAGTAATGCACACCTAATCATTTTAATAAGTTCATTACCTTCTGTAATTGATTTAGGATTCAGAAGGAATCTTAAAATCAGGGCATCATTCAGGATTTGTTCTGGTAAAACACTTCAGAATGTGCGTGTATCCACATAGAAACATTTCACTTCTCTTTTTTTAAAGGATTCTACAAAATGCATTATTGCTCTCAGACAGCAGGCTTCACCTCTTCCTACAGACTCAGCTAAGTCCGGAAGATATGGAGGCTTGTGTATGTGGGCAGACCAAATATTCTGTCGCTGATGCGATTCAGAAGTTTGCCTCTTTGAACAGGCGCTTTCCTATAGAAGATGAAGAGAGAAAAAAAGGAGGAAACGATGCAGACTCTGATTCGGAGAGGTGATTTCTGTATTTCCTTACTTTCGGAGATTGTATATATATATACACACACGCATGCGTGTGCTTCAGTTTTTTGTTGATGTAATACTAAGATAATGAAAAAATTAATTGACTGAGATTTTATTGAGCTGTGACAGCTCATCATAGAAGTCTTCACACACACCTCCACACTGAATTAATGAATGCAGTAGAAATTCAATTATCTGCATTCTGATTATGTGAATTTCATTTAGTCAGACTTGAATTATTCGCGTTTAAATTATCTTGCTAAAAAAAATATCCAACTGCACTCCAAATGGCTAATTAAAAGTCCAAATTTCCTGTCTCTCTTTGTGACTGGAGATAATTAAAGTTCTCCTCTGTTACTCAGGCTTTGAGTGTGTTGTGAAAACCAATTTCCTCCTTTTATTTTATTTTTTTCCTCTCCCCTTTTTCTGCAGTTCATCCTCCGGGCTTGGACCTAGTGATGACAGCATTTCATGTGGATGTAAAGCAAGCCTAGCTTCTGAAGAATCATGAAAGATCTGTTCTGTATTCTTACCTTAAGGACAGCACAAAATGGTTTCTCCTATGTTTACTAGTTACATACACCACATGAATGCACCTTGCTAGCAACATGCACCTAAAAGACTTATTGTCAACACAACAGTATGTCCTTACAGAGTTTTTAAACAGACCTCGATATTATTTCATTGATCTATTATGTCTGCTGACTCAGGTCTATGTGTTACCTATTGCATTTACTTCTCTGTAACTATTATAATCTCAGCATTGGGTTAGTCATGTTCCACTGACTGACGTGGCTGTTAAAATATTTCCCTTAGTGAGTTCACGTCTTAGAGCTGGAAAAATAAAGATAACTTCATCCTCAGCTTTAGAGTTGGTGTATCATATCAAACACAGTCAAAGCATCTTTTTGTAATTTGCAACAGAGAAGTTTCATCTTTAGAAGTCATTTGACATTGGTGATGAAATTACATACCCCACAAGGTATTAACTTTTTCAAGTAGCTCAGCAACATCAGCAAAACAACATTTGTACAAACTATACGCTGCTGACAATTTGAGATATAAATATATCTTCCCTGATCTTTCTGTGATGTTTATGGAAAGCCTGTTTTTATCGCGTATAAGAACTTAAGGCCAAAATTCTTGTGTATGGTTGCTTGGAAATTGGAAATGATAATAAAAATGACATAACTTCTAGGGTTGCTGAGGATTCTCAGTTCCCAGGGAAATTTTGGGTACTCGTTCCCAGTGAGAATCTTGGATGCAGTCCATTAAAAAACCAATGGCTGAATTTTCCACTGACTGCACTGTGGCCAGGACTCCACCCAACATATTTAACTTCAGGCACCTACATGAAGATGTCAGGAGCCATGCTTTAATGTAGCAGCATAAATGCTGTCTGTCACTCCAAGGTGATGATGATCCCATAGCTGCAACAAGCAGCGTGAATGCAGGCTGGAATCTTTGGGAATAACCGGAGCTGCCGGTTCCATTGTGGCTGCAGTTAGCACATGGATACGGAGCACTGCACAAACAAAAGGCAGGCTTGGACACAACTTTGTAACCACCAATTCTTATTTTGATTAAACGTCAGCACTGCTCTTTATTGTTAGCAGCAGCTGCGTAGCGTCTTGTCCCAGGCTCTGTCAAAGGAATACGTTTCGCTGTGGTGCCGTATTTATATTTGACATTTAGCTGCTATTAAAAAGAGCTGGGGGGTCCGATGGGCCCAGCAGAGCTCTGTGTGCTCCGGCGCTGTGCTCCCAGCCTAAAATGGGTGCGTGCGTCCTCTTTAAGAAATATGGGGCTACTTTCAAAGAAAGAGCGTTGTTAACCTCCTATGCGTTACAGAAACAATAGATTATTAACTGGACACCTCATAAAGGTTAGCACAGGCATGTGCGGGCACGCTTTTTTAAAGCATCCAGCTGGGAATCTGTGTAATTTTAGAAACGTGTTTTAATAGCCTGAGGATAACATCTCTTAGGTAACTGCTCCGAGCCACTGTTTTCTGTTGATGGCAGCGCTTTCCTGAGATAAATACCCGTGCCTCTTTTTGCTTAGTCTGATTGAATTGCACAAATGGATCTCTTTGCCATCTCGGCTTGTGTGCCAGTTAGCAACGAAGCTGTTTTAACGTAAAACTGATAACATTTAATTAACGCAACAAGTTACTGCTAAAAGTAGCCTAAAAATAGCTATTAGTGCCACGCAGCGATGGTTCCATTGCACAACTTCGTTTTAAGAGGGTGCATTATTAGAAAAATTGTTTGGGAGCTTATTTAAAAGGCGGGGATATATAAAACTGGAAATGGGAGCGATGTCAGAGGATGATAGTGCTGTTTTTATTTAATGAAGTATAGGATGAGTGGGCTTTCTTTTATTTTTCTAATATTATTTTTAGGTTTTGTTTGGAAAGCTCAAGCCGGGCTGCTGAAGCACTTCACTGCCCTGCCCTGCAAACAAGCCCTCAATATTTGACAAAGTGCAGAAGCACGGAGCCTGGAGAAACCTTTGTGGCTGTTTTGTTTTTCCATTCCAGGAGCTGATCTGTTTGTGCGCTGCTGAATGGATTCCAAACAAAGGTGTTTCCGAAATAAATATCAGTTTTCTATCAGTTCTGTTCTTATCTTGCTGTTTCCTTTGTCAGGTTGCTCGAAAGTTGGAATTCTACAGCAGCTCTTTCTTCTGATCGGACAGAAATGTGTTTAAATATTTATCTTCTCACTGTTGGGTGTATTGGTTGTACTACTGCATCTTTTTTATTATTATTAAAAAGGAAGGAAAAGTGTTCTGTGTCCCAGTATTTATTTTGTGTATCAGCTGTATGTGAGTGCACACGAATGCTTTAATTGGAAGCATTTAAGTGCTAGTTTCTGTTTAGCTTCCATTTAAAGATATTCAAAGAAAACCCGTGTCTTTCGCAACTTGAGCGAGGCGGTGATTTCCAGCAGTGTCGTACATTTTGCTTTTACAAGAGCAGCCCTGGTATTCGGAGTGGCATTTCTTCGTTTTGAGCCGTGCCATTTCCCGCTGGTCTTTCAAACAGGGTAATGTTGAGTTTGTAATACATTTAATTACTATTGCCAATTTCATCTAACGGCAATAATTCTGTGCTCAAGTAATTGCACTCAAACGCTGCGCTTTAGCTTTTGCTTAGAATGCAACATTCCCATTTTATATGATGATTTCTTAAAAGTTTTCAATTAATTAAACTCAGTTACCCCTTTTATCCTGTGTTTAAACCTATCATTCAGGCTTCCTCTTTTTTTCTATCAACATCCTATTTGCTTTGACTTGCCCTGTATAATTTCAGCTATTTTTGTGATATGTACATACACAGTTGTGTTTGCTTTTCTTTTCTTTCTGGTTTTGTCCTCTTTTTTTATGCCCTCTCTTTTCCTTTCTTTCTCTTTTCCTTTCTTTCTCTTTTCCTTTCTTTCTCCATTCCATTCTTTCTTTTCCTTTCTTTTTGTAGAAATTAAGAGGAAATAGCTCCAGCCATACAGGCTGTTGAATTACAGAGTGTAATCCAGGACATTGTGAGCAACCTGTTACTGTGCCATTGGCACACATTTAACAAGAAAGACAAGAGAAAAAGACATCTTTTGGACAGCAAATCTTAATGAGAACAACAGGGCGCTTCTGTAACCCCCCCCCCCACCCTCTGCCTGCAACATCCCATGCCCATCCCATGAGATTTTTTAAAATGTTGAAATATTTAGTGGAATAATATTTAAATGCTGTGGGTGTGCATTGTTGGTGACTGTCACTCAAAGCGCAGGGTGTGTTTGGCGATGGATGGCACAGAGCTGTGTGTTTCTCTGCTGCCTGCAGCGCTGGGTTTCTTCCCTCTGGCTTTTACAGGGCTGCATTCTTCCCCAGCCCCAAAATAAAAATTCCGATTTCCATAATCAAGCTGATTCTGTTCAGGAAAAGCCCTGGTGCTTGAGGAAAGGCAGTCACAGCACCAAAGAAGGGGTCTGGGTGGAAGGGATGTAGCAGTCGTTACGGTGCAGGAGCACTGTGCTGCAGTGCTGCTTCTCCTTCTGCAGTAATGCCTTGGAAAGCACTGCATCTGCTTCTATAGCAGGAATCGGCCTCAGCTGGGAGCCATGGCACTTCTGCTTTGGTTCTTTATTGATTTGCGAGGCACCTCGGTGCACGGTGTGTGTATAGATGTGTATGTATGTGTATGTATGTGTATGTATGTGTATGTATGTGTAGGTGTGTGTGTGTAGCATCTGCAGAAGCTTCTGTGAGGGAAGGGGGGAAAGAGGAGAGGAAAAAAAAAAAAGGAGAAAATAGAAGGAAAAGTGTGTGTGGGGGGGAAGAGGGGTGTGTGAAAGAAGGAAATAAGGAGAAAAAAAAAATAGGAGAAAAAAAGAGGAAATAATGAAAGAAACAAAAGGGACACGAGAGAAATAGTAATAATAATAATAAAGAATAAAAACAAACAAACAAA